GGTGGCTTTTTTTCCTTGGACTAATTTATTTGTATGCAGCTAAGCTGGAAATGTTACTGGAAATATGAATAGAAAGATACAGTATACATTGTACAAATATTTGGCATGCCAATAAATCTCATTAAAATGAAACTATTTTGAACAGGGGAAAAAATTATTACATTTTTAATTTGAATGTTTTTGGCACAGCAGTGAGTTGATCTTGTTGTTTGAGGAATCTTTCCTACATGGCTTCCTGCTGTTGCTGTGTGCAGCTGGAATGTGAGTGTTCATGTTCCAGCCACTGCCGAGTGCATTTGACTCCCCCTGGTTACTGTAGTTATCTCCTTCCCTCGAGCCCAGGTCTCAACAAACTTTTAGTGAGAGAGAAACAGACAGCAGTATGACTGATTTGCATCATCAGATACCTGTAAGAGGTTTATTATTGCACCTCAGCTTTTCAAATCATCTTCAAGTGAAGTAAATGTATGTTATGTTAAATAAAATATATAATACATAATAAATAAAATAAAAATGTTAAATAAAAATACAGTGTTAAATAAAGCTCAACCAAAAGTTGAAGAAGCTAAAGTTCAGCTAAATGTTAAGTGTATAAGATATGACTCTGTACATTAATAATATTTTTAAAAAAAAAGTTTTTGCAATGAAGACATCATAACAAAGTATATAAATACATTAATATGGTACTGTACCAATGCTATTATAGGCCAGGCTTAAAATGCTGTACTTATTTATACACTACAGGGGTCTCTGGTCCATCTCTCTATCCATCAAGTGATCTTTGGCCTGTAAAAGGTTGAAGACCCCTGGTCTAGAGCCAAAGGAACATATGTTTTTTACATGCCTGGTTAAAAGTAAATATATTTTAATTGAGGAATGGTCACATGCTTGACATAGAGACTTTTAGTGAGGTATGGGTCGTACACTGCACAGGCTCTATTATACTGGACCCCTATAAAAATAGACAAACCTAACCCAGTGATGAAAAACTTAAACGCACTGACCCACATATGTGGGTTCAAATTAGTATGACCTCAACTCATTGTTCAGGTTTACATGCAGCTTGGTAGTTGGTACCAATCTGAGAAATCTCCTTTGTGCTCTTGCAGATCAGCCTCAAGCTAAATGTTTGAGTATGAGGGCTTCCCATGCTGTTATCAGCAGGGGAAATATAAATACCAAATTAATTTGAACAATATTAATTAAATCTGTTTTCATTTATGAATTAACGTATTGTATTTGTTGATTTTCCTAAATGCTTTATCTACTTTAATGGTTAAATTATTGATTTAAGGGCCCTGTCAATGTTACTTAAGAAAATCAATATCCAAGATGACACTGAAAGGCATTGGTTGAAAAATTGCTTAAACCTAGTTTTCATTTAACCAGTTGTATTTAGCAATTTATCAACACTGAGTTACATTTGTTTTGATGACAAAAATGAGAGCTCCTTGAGCACCAAACCAGCATATTAGAGTGATTTCTGAAGAGTAATGGAGTCTGAAACTTCAGCTTTGCCATCAAAGGAATGAATTACATTTTTAAATACATTAAAATAGAAATCGGTTATTTTAAATTGTAAAATTATTTTATAATATCACCGTTTTCAAATAAATGCAGCCGAGCATGAGATACTTATTTCAAAAACATGAAAAAATCTTATAGACCCTATACTTTTTAACTGTAGTATACACATGGATGCAGTGTTATTATGGACATGTTTGTTGTTTAGAAGCTTTAGCTGAAGTTCACTCAAAAATGACAATTCTGTCATTAATCATTCAATTAATTAACTGTGTATTAAGAGGTGACTTAATTCTGCTTAGACCAGCTGTGCGTTTGGCTGAGGCACTGGCCCCTTGTGCCCCATGTTCACTTTACCCCTCACGGTCTGTCTTTCTCCTGGTTGATCCTCTCTCATCTTTTTGACAGTGGTAAGCAGATCAAGTGTCAATCACTCATCTTGGATAGCATTTCTCCTCCCACTAAAGCTCTGTGTCCATTCACTCTGTCAGCAGGGAGCCAGTCTCTGGGTGTATGTAGCTTTCTCACTGAAAAGCCAGATTACAGTGTTTCCAACTGTGTTTTGTCAAGAGTCATGTGCAGTAAATTAAATTGGACTGAATGATGTAATTTGTTAAACATTTAATTTTAAAAGTGCTGCTCCAATTTATAATATCACATAAAGTCAGTTAAGGTTACTTAAATGAGTCTGTGAGTTCAGTTGGATGTATTATATTAATATTATTTATATACTATTACAGTCAAACCAAAACTTATTCAGACAGCTTCAACATTTCTCACATTATATCACAGTTTATTTGCTATAGTTTAGAAAATGGTAATAAAATATGACAAGAACTCAGAGTTACACTGTGTCAGAACAAATTCATCTTGATAATGTCAGATAACTTTGATAGAAAAGTATGTAATGGATTACAATCAGCCAAAAATATTCAGCTGTTAAATTTAAGTACACAATTAGATAATACCAATTTAGGTCAACCAATTACCAAGCAATACTTAATTTTGTTCAGTCTGTGGTGTAAAAAGGTCGCATTAGCAATTAAAGAAAAACACTTAAGCAAAACATGGTCAGGTCAAAGTGTCTGAATATTTTTTGATCCCAAATTTTACTGGTAGTCCACTGTATGAAGAATTTTTGGGTATAATATGTCACAGTTCACTTTATTTTGCTATCCTCACTTACATTTATAAACTATAGTTTCCTGCACCCACTAGTAAAAAAAATATCAAATTGTTTCTGGTGTCTGAATAATTTTTGGTTTGACTGTATATTATATATTAAAGGGGTCATATGATGTGATTTCAAGTTTTCCTTTATCTTTGGTGTGTTACAAGCTATTCGTGAACATATAATATCCCTAAAGTTGCAAAGACTAAAGTCTCAAACCCAAAGAGATATTCTGTTTAAAAGGTAAGACTCGTCCACGCCCTCCTAAAACGTCTCGTTTAAACACACCCCCACATATCTACGTCACTGTGTGGGAAGATTTGCATAACGCCGCCCAAATGTTTACGCAAAGAAAGAAGGCGTAACTGATTCTTTTTAAAGAATTTGCCACTGATGATGTAAACGCGAGTTTTGAGCAGTGTAGAGTAGTGCTTGTTCTTTGTCATTTCTCCGATCACAAATACAGACATGGTTTTATGTTTACGCGGCCTGATGCAACGCAACGCGTAAAAAGACAGTATAAGTCATTATAATCAGTAATTATGTTCCCACTGGATGAAACAAATGCCTCGTTTATAATGGGTTTTAATGTTTTTGTCTCGTCGCGCCGGGACACAGCATTACAGTATGGTAAGAGGCGTAACATTTCCGTCACACGCTATTTGGCCAATCACAACGCACTGGATAGCTGGCCAATCAGAGCACACCTCGCTTTTCAGACCGAGCTTTGTAAAAATCTACGCGTTTCAGAAAGGCAGGGCATAGAGGAGAAACAATAATGTACAGTGTGGGGAAAATAATGTGTTTTTTTAATCTTAAACCGCATAAACACATTTCATTACACCAAATACACAAAATTATTTTTTAGCAATGTCATATGACCCCTTTAATATTTTGAATTAGCTTTTATATTCATATTTGCACTTGCAATTTAAAAAGTTTTACACTTTTGATGTGCTTTTGTCATTTGTATTAGTTGTCTCTTTTTTTTGTCTATTTAGCTTTAATTTTTTTTTCAATGTTAATTAATTCAGTACTTAAAAACAGTAAACTTATTTCCATTAGTTGCCAAGGCAGCATTCATTTTTTATTTATTCATTTTTTTTAGTTTATTTCAGTTACTGGAAAGTTTTAACAGTTTTAGGTAACATTACCAACACTGGTTGGATGATTTTAGCTGATCAGAATTTGATGTGCGATTGTGTGAAAACATAATTTCAATGGGATACTGTACCCAAAAATGGAAATTAATGATTTACTCACCCTCATGGCTTTTCAAACCTGTATGACATTTTCATTTGTGAAGCATTACAGAAGATATTTTGAAGAAAGTTTTGGTGCCCAATAAATATATATTTTTGAGTAAACTATGCCTTAAAAATACTTTCTTTTGATTGTAATACGCTGCATATTTAATATGTAGTTTGTAGGGATGTAACGATTAACTGCGAGCCGGTTGGAAATCGATTTAAATATGTGACGATTCAAATCGGTTGAGATGCTAAACCAATCGCGATTCATTTAGGTGTAGGAGTTTATAAGAATCCATGTCTGAGGGGAACTTACTGTCTTTAGAAAAGTTTAGATGGTATTATTTTCGTTTCCTCTTGCCTCTGTATAATGCATATTAAAGTTCATAAGTGCAGCGCTGCTTTGTTTACAGCGGAAACCAATGAAACGCTTTAAGCGCCATCTGCTGGCAGAGAGTGAATCTGCGGCTCATTCAGCTCATTTGGGGCTTGTTTTACAATTTCAATGTAGTTTTGTTATTTTACATTTACATTATATTTAAATTTTGTCATTTAGCAGACACTTTTATCCAAAGCGACTTACAAATGAGGACAATAGAAGCAATCAAAACCAACAAAAGAGCAATAATATGCAAGTGCTATATTAGTATATTATTATAGTGTTATATTTCAACTTCACAAATAAATGTGCAGCATTTTGTCCAAGCAATAATAAAAGGACACATTTAATTTATAATTTGTCTTAAATCTCATTGTTAAAAAACAATCGTGAATCGAATCGAACCGTGAAATCAAAATCGTGAATCGAATCGAATCGTGAGTTGAGTGAATCGTTACATCCCTAGTAGTTTGCATATTCATGTTGACACTATTTTCCCCTTGTGTCTGCTTTGCTCCAGCAGCTAATGTAGAGTGTGATTGGGAGGGTCTTTGAGTGTGGGTGTGGTCAGAAGAGTGACAGACAGACGGGCAGGCAGTGTGAGAGGGGAGGGGCAGGGAGTGAGTGGGCGGTCTCTACCTCGTGAGCTGCTGCAGTGTGTGGGGAGTATGTCAGTGTGTCGGAGACCTGCAGTTTGGAAGGGTTAGTGAGCAACACACACACAAACTTGCCCACTCAGCACACATGCACGCACACACACACTCAACCGTGGCATGGGACGCCACTGGACTCGCTGGAAAATGAATCTAATGAAGGGAAGGACAATCAGCCTACAGTATGGTGAGTACAGACAACTCTGGAGTTTAGAGGTGCTAATGGCTTTACCTTACGGGGGTTGAGATGGGGGAGGGGTGGGAGACAGGGGGTACTGTTGCTGTTTTTACTGACTTTTACTGTGCTGCTGCTGATTGACTGTGTCAACAGTGTGAGCATACACTTTAGCTATAGGGGAACACCTTTGTGGTGATGCAGTGTGCTGGTTATCCTTGTTATACGTGACAGTGTGTGTTTTTAATGAATAAGTGCTCAGAGTGTGTGTTGGTAGTCTGTACTGTCCTTGACGCAGGTAAAGCAGCCGAGGGGAGTGAAACTGTGGATTCAGCATGAATACACTCCACTGAGAGCTGACTGCGTGCTGCTGTTTTTCTGTAGGTTTCATAGAGCCGGTTTGACTGTGTCTGTGTGTGACCTCTCTTCATGACTATCGGTGTCTTCCAAATGTGTGTGTGTGTGTGTGCTCAGGCCTGTCACGCCAGCTGCTCTCTGCATTACACTCGTCTCCTTTACATCTCAGCAAGCCTATAAAGTGGTCAACCATGCAGAGAGGAAGGAAAGTGTATGTACAACACTCTTGGCCTTTCATTCGCTTTTAAATGTGACTGCTGCCTTGAAGGTGAAGAAAGAAGGCGATATGTTTTATCTGAAACCATATTTTCTTCATCTTCATCGAGTTTGAAAACACTGACATGTGTGGACTCAATTTAGCCTCATCTTATGTGTTTGGGTTTGCCGGGTTGATATTGAAAATGAGCCCAGAAGGAAAGAACGGGGGGCGGAAAGAGGGGCAAAATTAAGTGTTTGGAGTAGAAGTACGTTGTCATTAGTACACTCATGTGCTCATTCTTCACTCCAAACCACAATTATGCTCCGAGCAGGTTGCGCTGTGCTACATCTGCTGATTGAACCACAAACATTCGTTGTTCTTACACTTTACGAGGAACTTCCTCTGACCTGGAGTGTATCGTCTCTAAGAGTGCTGCTGGGCTTGTCCTGTGAGCAATCGCTCTGTCCTTGTAATTGAGTGAGCCGGGTACAATTTACAAAGTCAGTCTAAACATCCAATCCCCCAAACCGGCCAAGCTGCATATGGTTCAGTTTTTCAGGAAACACTGCAGCTCTGGCTCAGTGATCTGTAGCTCACAATAGCTGTAGAGGTAACTGGAAACAAATGCGTTTAAAAGCAAAATAGCCTCCCGCTCATTCATTCAAGCCCACCACTGCTTGTCAAGATGTCGGAGGCTTAAATTAGGTCCATTTATTGTGTCCTTTTTTGTGTCTCTGGGCGACTTGGTGGTGAGGCGATTCAATTCGACCCATCTCGCTGTAGAGACATTTGTCCAAGGGTCACTGGGTTATCTAGTAGTTGTGTTTGAAGAGCAGGTTTACTCAGATGCTTCAGAGAGGTCTGAGGTTTGTCTGTATCTGTTGTCAGGTAGAGGGCTGTTCTTGAGCCTGCTCTGATGTGTTAAACTTTAACCCTTCAGAGTAACACCGCATGCTTCTAAGATCATGACTCTTGACTGAAGAATTTCACCACTCTGTTCTTCAGGAGGCTTCATGAGAAAGGCTGCTGCATGGTTTTTATAACTATAGGGGTCTCAACAGTAATAACAAACACCTTGTCTATGATATTTAATGTGTAGGCATCTGTTTGTAAATGTGAGGCTACATTTTGCTAGTGGGCAGATTTGTCTGATATGTGTGTCTGAGAGTATACTTACCTTTAGGGCAACCTGAAGAAGTAAAATAAATATGACAATACACCCCTTTTGGAACACACACACACACATTCCACTACTATTCTATATACTATACAAATGTTTGGGGTTGGCATGAAATTATTTTTATATATAAAACATTTAGGCACACTACGGTTGCATTTATATGATGGAAAATACAGTAAAATATGTAATATTGTGAATTATTACTATAATTCAAAACAACAGTCATTCAGTAGTCATTACTCCAGTCTTCAGTGTCACATCGGCCTTCAGAAATCATTCTAATACGCTGATTTGTTGGTCAAGAAACATTTATTGTGATTATCAATACTTTATTTACTTAATTTTTTGGAAAAGATAATAACACTTCTTTAGGAATACTTCAGAAGAACAACATTTAGGCTATTAGAAATCTTTTGTAACATTATAAATGTCTTTACTGTAAATTTTGATCAGTGTAATGTGTTCTTGCTTAATGAAATAAAAATAATAAAAAAATCTTACAGACACCAAACTTTGATTTGTGTGTATGTGTGTGAGAGAGAGAGTGATAACAGCAAGGCTGATCTCATGGCTGCTCTTCATATTGCTGAGGTAGAGGAATGCTCGCGATGCTTCTCCTGATCAGACCTGTTCAATACAGAGTATAAAACATGATCACAGCACTCTCTTTCTCGCTCTTGCTCCTTTCTGTTCCTTTCTGTCTGTTATTCTAGATATGGACAGAAAACCACTGTTCCCATCATTCCCACTACTAAAAAAAACAAAATGTCATGTTAATTCAGCACTCAGATTGTGACATTTGGTTATAGTCAGGTCCATACCAAACCCTGCTAATGTTTGGCTGGATAGTCCTCAATACTGCAAATGCTATTTGGTGGAACAGGTCACATGGGGATTATGGTCTGCTTGGACTAACCAATTAACTTTCATATGTGCTTTACAGGTTCTAAAATTTGACCCTGCAAGACCACATGTTTGTTATGCAGCTAGAGCACTCTGATGTAGTGATATGTACAAAGATAGATCATCCAGCACGTTTAAGATAGTCTGCTTGGTTTTAAATAGTTTTTAGTGTGAATGTTAACAAATGTCTGAGTAAAAGGGAAGCATTTTTAAATGTCATTGTGATATAATGGGATTCAGGCAGAGTTAAGGGATGTTGACTAAAGAACTTTAGGGTTAGTTTTGTCCTACATGCCTGTAAATCACGGTGCACTGGTCATCTTTGGGACAACCGTTACATACAGACACAACTCAAGACATGTGGAGTAGCGAGAGAGGACTATTCAATGCTAAGGGATTTTACTGTTTCCTCCTGTGTACACTAGCAACCAAACTATAATGTATGGGATCAAGCTTTGACTTGTTTCCTTTGAGGCATTGATGCTAATCATCAGTCATTTTCATGCCATTTCATTACCTCACACGCTAAAGTTACAATCTGAGCACAGACTGTCTTCATCCTTTAGTAAATTGTCATCAATGTTAGCTGCGTAGATATAGTCTCACTATAAGTAGTCAGACCATAATGTGAAAAACACGACTGATGTTCCACCTGTATGCATTTTCTAATTCTCTGCAATAAAATAGATTTTTTTCTCCATACAGTGAAAGTCAAAGGGGTTGACTGACAGTAAGGAGAATTGTTTTTTTCCTTTTCAAAATAAAATAGTATGGGCAAAACAGTTGTTGTTGTTTTTCAACAGAAGTTATACAGGTTTGAGATTTTTTTTTTTGAGTGAACTATCGCTTTATAATACATCTTTTTAATATAAATAAATCAGGCTTTCAAAAGAGTTGACAAAGCAGATAACAGATCTCTCAAACTGAATATAACCGCATGAATCAGTGTACTGTTATGGATCTTGTTTGGGTGGCTCTTGCTGCTTCAAGAATGCTGTCACACCCTTTGGGTCTCTCTTCTTTAACATGGTAATCCCAACACACTAGGCAGGAAAGAAAACCATTCTGTGTGGACCAATTCAGGAGGAAATGAATGGTTCATTTGTAGAGGAAAGGACGAAAAGGAGGACCATAAATATAAACATGTGCGCACATTTTAGTGACAACATGTAAACACTCATGTTTAGGTGAATTCCCACTGTACTTTTCACCCCGAGACCTATTTTAGCAGAAGCCAGAAGAGTTGTGTCCATAATCACTGTGATAACACTGAAAAAAATCTGTCAGACCGCAAGTTCAAACTGAAACTTGCTCATATTATTCACACTCACCTGTTAGCTTGCACAGAAATTTGTTAAATATAATTGCCCCTAGAAGCACACTTCTAGGTTCGCTTGAAGTCTAAATTTATAGGATGTGTAAAGGGTAACTGAATGTCCTAGAATGGCTGTACTATGTTGTCATGTGATCTTCTAAATTGTGTTTATCTTCACAGTTGGTGCCCATTGCTTGTGCCAAAGTCAAACATTGGGACCCCCCCAAAAAAATTTATGTAACCCCTTCCACATGACCTTACACTGTCACATCCTGCTGAGTTCAGCCCCAGACAGTGTCGCCACACAATCCAGCTCTCAGCCAATGGAGTCTTGCTTCACAATAGAAGAGACGAGGACTCAATCCATCAGTGGCAGAGGGCCAAAAGTCAACGTTTTTTGTGTTTAGCTCATGAATAGGCTTTGATCTCAATGCAGCCGCTCTGAAGTTGTACACCGTTCTGGAGATTAACCCCAAAGACCCAAGGACTCTGGATTTTGAGTTGTGTATTTGACTGATTATGTGCCAGTGAGTTTAGATGGAGTCCCATCTACAGGTTTGGATTTCAGGGATAGACTGATTAAAATTAAATGGGGTTTATTTTGAGGAGACACTTTAAGCTAAGAAGCTAAGCTGTTACAGGGCCGGCCCTGTAAGTCTGGTATTTGTATGCATTTCATTCATATGAACATGTATAGTTTAGTAACTGCCACTCAGTCATGTTTTTATCCTAAAGTCCCTCTGTTGTATTGCCTACTCATTGGATTTAAGCAGTGTCAATTTTGTATACCAAGGTTCTTCAAAGAACACCGTAGTATTGCCATAGTAAATGTCCTTAAAACATGTTATCACCCCGAAGTACTGTGCAGTAGCATACTGATTTCTTCAAAATTCTCAGTGTTGTAGAATATAGTTAACCATCCCATCCTAACCTGTTGGATCAAGTTTTGTGATTTGACTGCAAAATTGGGCAAGATCGTCAGATGATCAGTTCTCTGTTTTTATTAACTGCTGGATGTGTTAGCAAGGTAAGACACACACACACATCAATTGGTCATA